AGCATCCTCGTCCCTTTCCCTTCCGAGAGGCAACGTCTTCACTCTTTTTCAGCAGCCATTGCCCAGCAGGTAGAAGAAAGTCGAGGCTCCGAGCCGAGTCAAGCTACACGCAGCAGTCGTAAGGCGAGAGATGCCGAGCTGCAAAAGCCGAAAAGCGGCACAAAAGGAGGCCTCCTTCCACCTGTAAGACAGCGGCCACAGCGGCGAAGTAGCGTGCGCCGCCACTTCAAGTAAGCTTCGAGAGCACTAGCCGCTGCTGCACGAGGAAGAGTTCAAAGCCGGCTGGTAGAAAGCGCAAGCAGCAGCGACTCGACGTCGGCTGTCGGCCGACAGTTTTGGTACGACTGAAAGGGCCGCCACTTCCTGAAGATAGGACTCCAAAGTAGTTGCATGTCGTACCCTCATCCTCCACATCAGATCTTGTATGCCCAGTCCTTCACGATATGCACGAACTGCTCCCCCTCCCCGAAGCCCGCCAGGGGTAAGGGAAACGGACCGAGGGATAGCGAGGATCCGCAGAAGCTCGTCCCAGCGTTTTCTGAAAGCAGAAGGGGAGCCGTTGTAGAGCAGATCTTCTGGCGAGGCCCGTGCATAGACCGATTCCAGATAGGAGCAGAAGCCGGTGTCCTTGATACACAAGTGCTGGACTCGCCCTTTTCCCCGAAAAGCGGTCTTTGGGGAACGGACTGCCATGAAGACGCCGACGCTGATCGGAGAAAGCGTGTCTGAGGGCAGCAGCAAATCCTTTCTCTGAGCACGCAGGGGCTCGCCGGCCCGAGCGATGCCAAAGTACGCCAGGCCCAGAATCGCACACCATCTGAACCAACCCCGGAGTGCGCCTAAAGCAAACAGCGCCTGAAATATAGCCTCGGGCATAGGTATCCGGTGCCGCACGGGCTGCACCCTTTCCCAGCGGGAAAGCAAATCCCAGGCCATCGGCATATAGGGCCGCAGCTCCAATCGCTGTTTCTGCATGTAAGCAAGAAGGTGGCGAAACATGTACATGGGCTGGCCGCTACGGAAAAGGAAATCACCGTAAGCTCGCAGCAGAGAGCAGTAGGCCATGGCGCAGGTGGCTAGGCTTTTAAGAGCAGAATCACTTAGACCCTGAAGAAGCCACTCCTCGAACCCATCCACGACGCGGACCTGAAGCTTTGCTGTAGCTGCGGAGACCAGCTTCACGTCCTCGAGCGACTGCAGCTTCTGCTTGGAGAGAACTGGCCCGGGGTGGCTCGCTTCACCAAACCTGGCTCCGTGACACTTTGCACAAGCGGCGAGGTTGAGGCGACGCCGTAGAGCTGGAGGTAAGCTTTTGTTTGCCAGGTGGTAGGCGAGAATCGTATTGACCTGACGGGGATAAGCTTCGGCAACCTTAGTCCACTGTCGGCGGTGAAAGCTGGAGTAGCCCTTAAGCTGTTGATGCTTAGCACAGCCAGGGCAACGGACAATTTGACCTCCGGCTTCGGCTCCGACGTAAAAACGAGTTCGCTTCCTCCACGGGGCTCCGAAAGCACAGAAGTCTAGGACCCAGCAGTCGGCGGCGCCTCGGTCTTTCAGCAGATCCTCCCACCAGGGGGTGTTCCACAAGTAGCTCCCGTGCGGGTTCTCGACCCACACAGGCCGCCCAATCTTGCCGAATTCTCGTGCGAGAGCAGCTGAGAAGGAGGCATGCAAGTTGCCCTCGTGAACCTTTTGCTGCATACTAGCACGAACATTCTGTAGCCCCAGCGGGAGCTCCTTGCTGCGCACGTTGGGACGCACAGCCCTCGAGAAAGAGGAGCAGACTGGGCCAGCTCCTCCGCCTAGGAACGCGTGGCCGCGTACCAAAGAGAAAATCTTTTCCTGCAGCCCGGCATCCAGGAGGTCCTCGGAAGAGGACCGCGCGTAGTCGAAAGTCAGCACCCAAGTGCCACTCAAATTTGCCAGCTCGTGCGCAACCCCGCGGGAACCAGAGTAGCAATCAAGAAACCCGGGGCGACGCAGCATGGCGTGTAGGCCCTGCTTGCATCGCTTGGGCAGCACGAACTGGTCGGGGTCAAACTCCAAGAGGGAGCGGGCCAGGCCGTAGGGCAGGTCAAGGACAGGCCCGTCTTCAAAGTCAGCCTCGACGCGAGGCGGCTGCTCTAACTCACGCTCTTTCCCTGCTACCAGCAGGTCGCACCGCTCCGCAGGGAGCACAGAAGGGGGCGGCTTCAAAGATCGATGCTTCAAGAAGACACTCGCTGGGAAATGGAAGCCGAGGCCAGCGAGGAACTGAATGTCACTGAACGATGCCTTCAGAAAATCGCGAATTGTATACATGACCAAAACTGTGCGGTCGCCTTTCCACTCCCTGGTGAAGTGCCATTGCCGAGGATCCAGTGTCACTGCGCCAAGGCTGACTTCGAGATCTCGGCCTCGCATGACTCGGTTGTCGATCTCCTCCTCGATGTCGCCTTGGTCGTCAGCAACCCAGACGGCTCCCCCTACGAAAGAGCTAAGCCCTATCACCAGGTTCTTTGAGCCCGAGCTGTTGTGGGAGTCCCGGTGAGGAACCGTCTTGACGTTTTTCATGATAGTGAAGCTCGTGTACTCGTGCTCGGGGAACCCGGACTCGACGAAGCGGGAGACAACGGCGCAGCTCAAAGGAAAACTTCTACTAGCCCTTCTGACCCCCACGACTCCCTCGTGGACGAAGAGGCCACCGCTGAAAGAGCCGGAGCCTTCGACGTCCATTCCTCGTGCAGCGACCTCAGAAGGGAGGAGCTCAAACAGCCCGAGGAGATCTTCGGCAGTGACCCGGTCAGCTCGCAGCAGGGCCTCAGCCAGCACTTCTGCCTCAGGCGGGCTCGGAGACCTTTTGAGCTCCTTCATGAAAAGCAGCCGGCGGTCGTTCCGAGGAGCTTTCGGCTCTGACACCGCAAGGGGAACTATGCTGTCCAAAGGAGGAAGTCCCAGCATGCTGATCGCGTCCAGCTCACATCCCTTCAGAAAGACTTCGAGCTCCTCGAAACGGCCCCCCAAGGCGTGCTCCAACCAGAGGGGCATGGCTTCTCTAGCCGCACGAACAGGAGCATGACGAGTAGGGTCATCAGCCGGGTTGTCGGAGGTGCCCACGTATGCGTAAACGCCACTGATGTCGGAGGACAAGTGCTCGGGCAAACTCTGCCGAAGGATGCCATTCAAACGCGGCGAAGCTGACCTTCCCTTGAGCACGGCCCCTAGAGAGACCTGCGAGTCGCTAGCTGACACCACACGAGAGCACGGGCTCCTTAGGCCCCGTCGACGCTCACTTGCTATCAGAGTCCTGAGCTCATGGACATTTATGTGCCGCGGCCTCCATATCCTCCGGCGCCAAACTTCTTTGAACTGGACTGACCTGAACAGGGTTTGCCAGACTGGGTGGTAGCCGAAAGAATCTCCGCCTGGTAGCTCCTCGGCCGGATCCAGCGTCCCCGCAACCCGTGCTTCCATCTGCACGGGCCGAAGAAGCTTCGTCCACACCGACTTCTTTAGGCTGTGGCGGCTTAGCTCCTCAACAAACTCCTCCGGGAAGAGCTGGGAAACCTCGGCCTCCCACCTGTCAGAGGCATCGGTAGCAGAGACCTCAGGGCAGTATCCATTCCTCAGGTTGGCTCGCACGGCAGGAGAGATCAGCACTAACATCCACAACTCAGCTTCGAGAGCAGGCCAAATCCGGAAGGCCTTGTGCTCATCAAGCCATCGAGGGGCCTTGAACACTTCCTCCAACAGCGACATGCACCTGCGCCGGAACTGAAAGACGGCGACGAAGAAGCCAGCAATGGAAGCTAGGATGTGACGGGTAGCGGCTCGGGTTTTGATGATGTCGACGGTGATCGAGATGACAGGTATCAACCGACAAGCGAGAGGCCTACAAGTGCCCCGGTCGCCGTCGACTTCCGCTCCCCAAACATCGGCCTTAAGCTGCTCGCGAAAAGACTTCTTGAAGTTCTGTTTGAGGCCACTCGCAGCATACGCCTCCTCGGCGCGCCTGAGACGTAAAGCCCCGGCAGTGGCCCCACTTCCCAGAGCCTCGATGTCCGAGCGGGGCAGCTTCTCAGTTATGAACAAATCGTCGATCACGACCCCGCCTGCAATGGAGCTCCGTGGCGCCCGGGATCTTAGAGTGAGCATCTCCTCGGGCGAGAAGACCTTGGCCTGCAAGCTAAGTGCGAGATGGGCGAGCTGGCCGAACTCAACGCTATTCAGATCCCCCATCGCCATGCTGTTCAGCGAAGCTCTGTACGGGCCTTTGCCAGAGAGGTGCTCCTCAAAGCAGCTGAAGCTGCGAGCGGTGGACTCATCTATGTGACCTGCCAGAGCATTGCGTATGAGCCGCTGAGAGCTGATGCAATAATGGTAGTAGTAGTCCTTAAGGTCCGCACCCGAGAGCACAAGCACCTCGCCCTCGGCGAGGCGGATCTGCAGGAGGGCTTCAGCACAACCCAAGGATTGCGTCCATCGATTCAGTCCGGCCTCCAGAAGATTGGGGCCACGGGCATCAAGAATAAGCCTGTCAGCAGCCAGCGATTTAGGCACTGAGAACAAACCATTCAAACAACGCTGTCGAGTGATCGTCGCGGGCAAGAACCGCAATCTCCCACCTTGGTCGAGCTTCCTGAAGAGTGCAAGCTTCTCCACCGGGGTAGCAAGAATCCGCGCTCGCGGCGGGGCCTCGGGGCACTGATCTTCAGGAACTGAGTGATCAATCGGGTAGAGATAGTGGTCCAAGCTCAGGGCATCCATGTACTGCGAAGGGTTGAACTTTGGGGCTTCACCGAACTCGAGGCGCGAGGCAACAACGGGTTTGGCGGTCATGTTGGACCCAAGACTGCCTCGCACCTCCTGCACAAAATCCATCTCCACTGGGTCGGCTACTCGAGCCGCCCCAGAGCTGTGGCCGTAACCTCGGCAAAGAACGGCCAAGCGATCTGCTTTCTTCCGAAGGCTGGAAGCGACATCCTCAAGGTTCTCGATCTTCGAGGCCACCCGACCCATGTCCTCAGCAGAAACAGGCGAATGGCAAACAATATCTCGCATCATCCCCGCCAACCGATTTACGTGAGCCCACTGCTCGGAACTCAAATGGCGAAAACCTCGAACAGCAAGAGGGGCTTCCCGAGGCCTGCCAAGGTGAAGCCAGGACAAAGAAGCCACAATCATATTCAATGCGACCTTCAAAGCACTCTCCTGCCGACCATCATTGAGACTCTCACTCACATTTTTCTCCCCATCACAGGCTCCAAAGTAGGGCAAAGGCATCGGCCAGGGGGAAGAGGCGGTGTGTCCCGGCTCGGGACGATCTTGGGCACAACGAAAGTAGCTGCTGAAGAAAACTGCAAACGAGTTGTCGCCTGCGAGCAAAAGACGGGGGAGGGCCTTCCAAAGAGCGACGGGATCCACGGTTGTTGCACCAGACCCAGGAACACGTACAGGCTCCATCATCGCCCCTCCTCGGGCCACGGCCCCCGTTGTGCCGGCTGTAGACTCAAGGGGCCCGGCTGCCCCAGCAAGAGAACAACTCACTTCTCCTCGGTGGCTCCGGCTCCTCTCGAGCCTCGGCCCTTCCCTTTCGGCGGCCTCCTGGGGGCCCCCGCATTTTCCTCTGTCTCGCCTCTGGGCGGAGGAACACCACCATCTTCGCTTCGCCGCCCTGCTGCCGACTGCCCCGCAAGCTTGCGCCGGGTCTCCAAATACAAGTCGACCTCCCTCAGCCTTGACATGAAGAGCTCCATCCACCTGGCATCCACGAGCTTGGTGAAGGGGATCTCCGCGCCACTCGGCAGAGTGTGGGTTGTGAAAGAGGGGAACGGCGGCGGATCCTCGAGGAGCATCTCCCCGGCAACGTTCCAGCTCCCCCTGTCTATGGAGAGCTGGTCTCCTGCTGCAAGCCCCAGCAGGCATCTCAAGTAGGCCTCCTCGCGGTTGTCCTCGCGAAGAGCGTCGGCGACCCCTGCTATGATCCACAGAAACCTGATAGTCGAGGGATAATGTTGAACCCGCGAACGGCTTTCTAACCAAGCCCTGCAGGACACCGGGACCTGGCTGCTCCCCGGCACCACGGAGCGCAGGGCGAAGTCGGACTCCATGTTCCGCTCGACCACCTTGATGAGCTCCTTCGGGTGACTCCTCAGGCGGTCTCTCAAAGCCCTCAGAGCTGCCGCATTCTTGCGCGATGACGTCGGGCCCGAGCTGGCGTCTGCAGATCCAGACCCGTCGAGGAGAGCTTCGAGACTCGACTCCTTCCGCTTCCCCTCTGCCAGCTGAGCAGCGATGGCCGTGAGCTTCGTCACCGCGGTGTGGATCGGGTCCGCAGGCTCGGTC